CACTGCCCCGGAGGCCCCTCGAAGCAAGACCATCCGGAGAGCTGCCAGGGTTGGTCTTTCCAAAAATCGCTGAGGAGTCAACTGGCGCAAACTGGGAGACGCTCCTCTGCTCCGGCGGCAGGCGTAGATCATCCGCCAGGGCACCCGAGGCTCTCTCTGCCCCTGAACCAACCTGGAAGCCCGAAGGAAATGGATCAAGAAAATATTTCTCCTCCGGGAAATCCTGGTATTGCATCTCCATCACACATTCGGCCCCCATATCCAAGAAGGGACTATTGGAGAACGGAGGGTAAATGTCTGGCATATTGGAATACAGAGAGATAGTTGAGCCGTGGAAGAACCAGGCAGTTTTTAAGCCAAATGGCGTAGATCCCCCTTTTTATAGAAGAATTAATTATGCTGTAACCCTGTCCTTTTGGTGTGCGGTCTTTTTGAGATCCAAAATAGGAGACCTCGTCCTGGGCTAAGCTGCTGGGAGTCTTCTCTCTTGGGGTTCATGCTCCCTACAAGTGGCTGACACCCACAATTTGCCGTAAGTCTTACTGTGTCAATCCTTTTGGGGCAAAAAGCAGGGGGTTCAGAAGAAAAGGTTGATGAAACAGCCGTGGTCTATTTGGGACGTTTCAGAGTTTTCAGACCCGTGTGGCTGGCTTTGTACCTTCTGTTGCTCATATTTTATTATTATTATTAACTTCTTGGAGATAACAGAAGTCAGGAGTCAGGCTTCATAGAAACTTGTAAATCATCTGGTATGAAATGACATTGGTTTTTCCTGATGAGTGCATTGTTGGATAACACAGAATTCACAACATATTTGATAAGCTTCTCTTTCTCCCTCTTTGTGTGCAGGAGAAGTCCCACCAGTGAATATCTTTGCCAGCGCCCCGTCCAACAGAAACCTAGAGAAGTTCCAGGTAATTGAAGGCAAGATGGCAAGAAAACTTATTTCTAAAGAACCACAGAGTGTTAAAGGCCATCGATCAAGGGCAGGGAACCTGGTCTTACTTGATGACGTTGGACTCAAATCTCCCATCAGTCGCACAGCAATGTCTGTGGTCAGGAATTATGGGTGTTGTCACTTGGAGGGACTCAGCTTCCCCATCCCTGCCACAGTGTGCTGTTATACCGTAGTACATTTTGTGTTTTCCATGTGGGCTGTTTCTCCACCTTCTGTATATAAATGCCAAAATCCTGTTGGCAAATGTAGGGGCCCCGTGGCCAAAGTACTCTGGGTTTGTTTGCCCCGATTATCTCTGGATTGCGGTTATGCAAGCGGGAGAGCACTCGTTTGGAAACCGATTTTCACCTGAGCAGGGGTTTAAATGGGTTCCCTGCTATGAAAGTGGTGGGGAAAGAGGAACCACGCACACAGAAGGGTCCATTCTCTGCGTGTGGTTCATCACCAATAGGATACCGGCGAAAATGACCCAGTTTCCTAAGAGCCCTAAAGATTAGCTCAAGCATTAGATGTAAGTTAAAACACTGCCGAGTTGCATCGTGACATTTCTGTATCTCTCTCCTCGTGATCTATTTTGATTGAAGAACCTGGACTGCAAGACCACACACTCCAACCTGGAAGTGGTGGAAAACTCCACCTTCGTATTCCTGGCAACCAAACCCCATGTCCTCCCTGCAGTCCTGCAAGAAATAGCACCGGCCGTCCACTCCCACCACGTTGTCATCTCCATGGCGGCAGGCGTCACCCTCCAGACCCCTGCAACTAGAGCCCCCACAGCGTCTATAAGTACATGCTTCCCCAGTTTTTCAGAGGAGGGATGTCTGTAAGTGTGGGCCAAACCACCTGTGCAGAAAGAAGAGGTTGTAGCACATTGGGAGAGCACATGATCTGTATACCGAACGACCTGCTTTCAATTCCTGCCATTTCCAGCTTTGGAAAATGAAGTGTTTAATAGGGGATAGGGTTAATGTCCTTTTCTGTAGAAGACCTTGCGGAGCTGATGGTGGTCAGCCGTGAGCGTACTGAGCTTGACGGACCAACAGTGCCGCTTGGAATAAGAGGGCCGCTTAATAGGATGGCTTTATCCCAAGTCCCCTCGCTCATCATGAATTGTTTCCTGAATAGATGCAAGCCCACATCTAGTCTAGTTTTTCAAAATAATGGAGCCACCTTAGAGATGCTGATTGGCTAATTGTGCTATTCACCTGAGTCCTGATAAAATGCTGATGGCGCTCAGAGGATGCTATCTGCACATTTATAATTGGGTTACTTAAGGTTTTGCTTAAGCCGCCTAGAGTGGTCTTAATCAACTAGATAAGCGGGATATAAAATAAATAAATAAATAAATAAACAAACAAACAAATAAATAAAATAAGGTTTTTCAGCCTTTCCAGGCTAATAGTCCCGTGACCCTTAAAAATGCACTTTGGTGATTACTGGAAATGTGTAACTTGCATACTGTAGTCACTTACTCAATTTCATTCATTCGTTCATTCATTCATTTAATATACCATTCCATTAATGCTGAAGCACTATCATGGGCAGTTTAGAAACAGTTCAAACAAGCTACACACATCAGTATACACTAGTTACAACATAAACACCAAAAGCATAGTCAAAAAAATTAACAACGGATGGTGCAAACCTCTTTACGGAGTTAAGCAAGACTAGAGGCAAAGCATTCAACCCCAAGAAAGTCCCCTCCCCCCCAAAAAAGTAGTGTCTTCGGCATAACTGCTTTGGGAGTTGATTCCATATCCTTGGTGCCCCCACCGAGAAGGCCCTGCTTCTTAATAGATGACTTTCGGGCCTCTCTCGGGGTGGCGACATGGAGGAGCCT